TCTTATTCATCATTCCCTCCACTTAAACAGCCTTTCCCTGTCCTTCTCTAACCATTGATCTCATATGGCAACATTTTAGGGTCTTTTTCCCTTCCCGTTTGACTGTAACTCCCATCAAAATGAGTGGTCTCTCCTCATGTCTTGGTACTTTCACTTGTTTCTCTTTTTAATCTATACCTAAATTGACTTACAGGAGTTTGTGGCTTAGAGTTTGGTATTGCTCAACAGAGTGGTATGTTTAGAAACGTAATAATAATAAAAGTAAATGAAAGCAATCAAAAGTTTCTAGGATGTATTAGAAATGAAGTGCTCTGTGATCACAAGTGGCTAGTGGCTACTCTATTGCATGATGTCTTTGCAGAAAAGCTTCGTACAGAATAACTCCATCATCAAACAGCATTTTCTTCAGGAGGGAAGAAGGAAAATACACCATCTCATATGCACAAATAGACACATAGTGCTGCATAGAGAGCTCAAATGGTGAGATAACAGAAGAAGGAATCGGATGATATTTCAAATTTAAGGACCAGAGAGAATATTCAAGAGGTGAGATTTACCTCAGAAGGAAAGGTGAAAATGCAACAATGGTAAGGTGGAGAAATGTGGAGTTGCAAAACACAGCTAGAAGAATGGCCATAGAGTAGATATGAGCTTGAAAGAGAGCCTAAGTGGCTGGTTCCGGATGTATATTGGGACCACATCATTGGAGTGTCTAAAATCTCAATAGAAGTTAAGATTTTGGTATTCTTGCTTCATGTTTGCTTTTCCTGAGAGCAATGGGAGAATTGTCCTTGCTGAGATGATGTGATCTGATTACTTATTTACACATTAGCTCATCCTGCTTCAGATTAGTGGCTTACTTATCTGTGTTTCTGCTGGATTGTACAACCCTAGATTTTTCACATCCTGAGTATATTGAATCATGTCCTGTTTGCCTCTGAATATTATAATAATTTATAGAATTAAGTTAAATTTAAAAATTTGTAACATTGGCTTACTTGGATTTGGCCCAGTGTCTGAGTAATTAGACATAGTTTAATTCTCTGTGAGCCATTTCAGCATATCCCATCTGACCTTTGGTAGATGACGGGATTGTTAGCGTCTCCTCCAGGCATGTTAAACTACTTTAAAAAGCTCATAGACATACAATTGAAAGATACTATGGTTTGGTACAATTTTTTTTTTGTAAAATCCCTAGATAGTTGTTTTATAAAATACATTGTATATAAACTCATCAAAGATTTCTTATATTCATGTATATCAAAAGAATTTGCACCAAAATAACCTTGTCCTTTAATTCCACTTTCCATGAACATTTTGGAATGCACTCATATCATTCAGGAAATAAGAGAATGGCAAGTATCCAGATGCACATTTATTCCTTGGTGCAACTAATCTTGCAATTTAGTTGAACTCAAAAGGTAGAAAGATTTGCATTTTTTTAAAAAAAATTATATTGGAAAGGTAAATTTACAGGGAAAAGGAAATACAAAGAGAAATATCTTCCATCTGCTGGTTTACTCCCCAAGGAGCTGTAACACTGGAGTTGAGCTGAGCTGATCAGAAGCCAGAAGCCAGGAGCTTCTTCTTCTGGGTCTCTCATGCAGCTCCCAGGGCAAGGGCATGAACTTGTACCCATATGTGATCCCAGCATGTGCAAGTTGAGGATTTAAGCACTGAGCCATAGTGCCAGGCCAAAATTTGTTATTTTAAAGGAGAAAGGGTTTTTTTAATGTCATGGCCCCTTCCCTTCATATTCTTTAGGAGAATTTCAGCAAATAGGACATAGAATAGCCTATGGGAAGGTTAGTGACAGGAGGGCACCTTGTGTCCGGGAAAGTGGAGGAAGGTCTAAGACAAGGTTCTCCTTCCAACTAAGGCCTGGGTAGGACTGTTAAGTCCCTACATAGGTCTGAGAAGACTGGAAAATTCTAAGGTGATAGAGTGAGGAAGACTGTGTGTTGCCATTAATTTTATGTTGTAAAGGTTAAACATCTGGTTTTCCTGTGAACTCCCTAAAGTTTTAATTTTTGACCATTAAATAAGGGATAAATTTCTGGATTCTACTGCTCAAAATACTTCTGCAAGTCACATATGGTCTTTGAGCCACCTGTTTATAACATCTCAGGCTTCATAACATGTGTATGAAGTTTCGTGGAGTCGGGAGTTGCCTTCTGAAGTGGAGAGTGACTCATGGCCACAGGATGCCAAGGCCATCCTCTTGTTCATTAAATCTGACCAAGAGACCAGAACTGGAACACCGTTGCCTTCTTCGAAGCTGCTGAATCTCCGGATTAGAAAAGGAGTTAATAAAGTACTAGGCAGCCTTACTCATGCTTGCATTGATTAATGATTAAAAGCCAGTATTCAAAGCTGGAAACCTGGAAACCAAGTTCAGTTAACCTCTCCAAGCCACAGCTTCACCCTCTCACCTGAAATTATAATAGTCTGGTTAGATAAATAAAATCTGAAGTTTATTTAGCAATTACGAAAGAGGATCTGAACTTGGAAACAAACCTATGAGTTGCCTAACTTGGCTGTTCTATAAGCTCGAATTTGATTACAACTTTTAACTTAATAGGATGTGTATATGTATTGACTGAGGTTTAATCAATATAAATTCATGTGTGATTATTAGTCACATTGAAAATCAAAGGGTATTGGGCCTGGCACGACAGCTTGGTGGTTAAGGTCCTCATCTTGAATGTGCTGGGATCCCATATGGGTGCCGGTTCTAATCCTGGCAGCCCTGTTTCCCATCCAGCTGTCTGCTTGTGGCCTGGGAAAGCAGTCGAGGATGGCCCAAAGCCTTGGGATCCCTCATGTGCATGGGAGACCTGGAAGAGCTCCTGGCTTTGGATTGGCTCAGCTGGACCATTGGACAGAAGATCTTCCTCTCTGTCTCTCCTCCTCTGTATGTGTGCCTTTCCAATAGAAAAGAAAGAAAGAAAGAAAGAAAGAAAGAAAGAAAGAAAGAAAGAAAGAAAGAAAGAAAGAAAGAAAGAAAGATCAAAGGGGCATCTCACTGGAAATCAAAGAACAACTTGCATTGAATAGGGAGGTACATTATTTTCCTTTACTCATTTCTTTTTTAAAGAGAAAGACCTTCCATCCATTGGTTCGCTCCACAAGTGTTTGCAACAACTGGAATTGGGCCGATCCAAAACCAGGAACCAGGAGCTTCTTCCAGGTCTCCCATTTTGGTGCAGGGTCCCAAGGCTTCCACAAGCAGTAAGCTGGATGGGAAGTGGAGCGGCTGAGACACATAACAGTGTTCCATATGGGATCCTGGTGCTTAAAGGGGGAGGATTAGCCAAATGAGCCATTGTGCCCAAGGTTCATTTTAAATTAGCAATTCTTAAGGTGCAGATTTTCCTTCCTTCCTTCCTTCCTTCCTTCCTTCCTTCCTTCCTTCCTTCCTTCCTTCCTTCCTTCCTTCCTTCCTTCCTTCCTTCCTTCTTTCCTTCCTTCTTTCCTTCCTCCCTCCCTCCCTCCCTCCTTCTCTCCCTCCCTTCCTTCCTTTCTTCCTTACTTCCTCCCTCCCTCCCTCTCTCTCTCCCTCCTTCCTTCCCTCCCTCCCTTCCTTTTTCTTTTTTAGTATTTATTTATTTTTATTGGAAAGGCAGAATTACAGCCAGAGAAAGTGAGACAGGGAGAGATCTTCCATCTGCTGGTTCACATCCCCAAGTGGCCCAAACAGGCAGAACAGGCCTGATTCAGAGTCAGGAGCTTCTGGGTCTCCCATATTGGGTTCAGGAACGTAAGAACTTGAGCCAGCCTCCCCTGCTTTCCCAGGTCATAAGCAGCTCCCATAGAGCTAGATGGGAAGTGGAGCAGTCCAGACTTGAACTGGTGACCATATGGGATGCTGAGCCTGATGTGTCATCACATCAGCCGCAGTAGATCATGGCTGGAGTTAGCTGAAAGGTTCTGCTTTCTGGGAACCAGCTGCAGGATGGCTTCACAACACAGGTGTTGTACCCTGGTTGACTTAAGCCTCTGCAGTCACTGTTCCGGTGCTAAGTCCACACCCCTCCATGAGCAGGGTTAGTAACAACTTTCACAGGGTTAGTATCAGTCTTCAGAGGTCCTGTAAGGGGCAAATGCATGTAGTGCTTGCATAGAGCTTGCACCACAGTAACTTTTTTGAACCTTTTAGCCAGTATTATTAATGCATATGTATATTCAGCTTCCAAAGTTCTCCCCTAGCCCCTTGGCTCATTACAGTAATTCTTTGAGAGAGACAGAGTAACTGTTTTGTGTTGTTTTTGCTCTTTTACAAATGAAATCAGAATTTGAACAGGCTCAATGACTCTCAGGGTTACTTAGCTTTATGAATGGCAGAGTTCCCTTTTGAACCCAAGTCTACACTTGAGCTTCTGGAAGACTTCTCTTGGCATTATTCAGCAGGATGAAATCATAGAATCCCATAATAGGAATGGGTAGGCACAGTGCTTGACTCATGCTCTTGCTCAGTTCAGCTGACTAATGGCAAACTTGGCCTCATCACTGATTGGTTGAGGTTGGGTACTAATACCCACCTTAGTCCCCGAGCAGAAAAATTCCTGCATCCACCAGGGGACCAGTCTACTCTCACCCAAGAGGCCAAGAGCAGCCACATTTTGGGAGGGCTGATCTTTGCTCTGGGTTCTGCTGGTGGGCTATATTCTACTTCTGTCTTTAGTTTCCTTTCTATCAACTCCCTTATTTATCTCCTGTCTCAGGATTAGGAGTCACCTTGGAGGCTATGCATAGGGGAGCTAAACAGCCCCCATTTCCCAAGGCAGTTTTCTTTGTGTTTTGCAAAGTGCAAAACTCTCAACTACCAGGAGCTAACAGAGCCCTGAAGCCACTGTGAGTGGTCCTCTCTCCTCTGCAGCACAGCAGGCTCACGTGATTCACCCAGGCAGGGTGAAAGGAGAAGTTGCCCTCTAAGAATTGAATGTGTTTAGATACCACACAGCCAGTCTGCCTGCTTCTCCTTTCAGGCTGACACCATCATGTGTCCCCGAGTAATCTCTTTAAGCCTCATACTACTTTTCGCAGGTAAGTCGGTGGGCTGGGAGTCTGGAAGCCTAGAGGATGGGACAGCAGAAGGGTGGAGATGGGGGCAAGGAGGGAAATGGATGGATACCTTGGGGCTCTTAGGATGGGCTATGTATTAGTCAGTTAGTGGGAAATCAGGATGAAATCTTAATTTAAACAATTCCTAAGCTGCTATGAATCACAAAATCTAAAGCCAATTGAACAAGATATAAAACACTGTGTCACATACTACTACTACTTGTATTTGAACCAAAAAAAAAAAAAGCAGTAGGTGGATGTGTGCACATAGGCAAATGTACGTTAAGTATGGTAACTGATTTCCATATGTGGGGGTGGAAGATGGGGAGAATAGGTGGAAAATAGGGGTGAAAGGGGAGTTAGCCTTTCCTTAGATTCTTCTGTGCATTCTACAAAAAAGGAAGTTAAATCATTTTATGAAAAATGAATATTTTGAAATTTTGTTTTTAAAAGATTCATTTGTTTGAAAAGCAAACCAGTGAGAAAAGAGAATGGAGGAGACAGAGATTCTCCATTTGCTGTTTCATTCCCTTAATATCTCTGGCAGCCAGACCTGGGTATAACTGGAGCCAGGAGCCAAGAACTCCATCTGGGTCTCCTATACTGGGGACAGGGACCCAGCTGCTTGGGTTATCATCTGTTACCTTCCTAGGCCAATTAAAATATTCTATTATATAGGGGGAAATGTTGCAATGGACATATCCTAAAACTAATTTCTGGAAGATAGGACTATGGGAAGAATATTTTTGTTGCATACTTCTATGACATAACTATAATTGTAGTATGTGTATAATCTAAAAAATATTGGAAAGAATTGAATTATAAGAATTGCAATGAGAAATATACTGTTATTTTATGCAACAGTGGGCATCCTATCTACCTCCTCTGCCCAACCCCCTCAGACACTGTGACAGCTCCTAAGTTTACAACCCAGTAGTTCAGACTGGCTCATGGGTCTTACCTTTCCTTTAAGGGTCATTTTGAATGCATTTCATAGTCCCAGAGATAGTTTTGTTCTGTTTTCAAGTGACACCATTTAGTCCTTGCTTGAGTATTCTTAAATTTAATGATTTTACAGAGAATCTTTGGAGTTTTCCTTTGGGGGTGAGGGACTGATATAAAAGTCTATACTAGCTTCAGCTTCCCCCATTTTCTGAAAATGTATTTCTTTTTTTTTTCTTTGAAAATTGATTTCTTAAGAATTTATTAGAATTCTGGTTTCAAGATACTAAATCAGATTTTTTTAGGTGATTCCATTTGCAATAGGAATTTTAAAAATTAAATTATTGTTTAAATGAATACAATGATTGAATCCAGGGTAGAAGCCTGGGTTACTAGAGAAGAAGGCAGACTTCTCACTGCATCACGTTTTGTGTTGTCTTCATTTTAAAAAGCTACATGCATCTATTATCTCCTTTAGAATCAATAATAGTAGATACCTGGCAAGCCCAGGGCAAAATACAAATTCATGTTATTATTTGAGTGAAATTTACTTGAAATGCTTTGGAAAGCAATTTGGCTGTATTCATTAAGACTGAAAAAAAGTCCTGCCCTTGATTCTTGTAATTGTCTTTTTAGGCACCTATGCTGGTGGACATCCAAAAAACAGACAAATCTTATGTAGAAAAATCTTGTGATGTTATTTCTAATGGTAAAAATAAGAAGCAACCTGAGTATCCTACAGTATAATAAATTGTTTTCTGCACAAGTGTATCTATACTTTAGAAAAATAATAGGACTTTATTCTCTGTTCCACTTGTCTTTATTGCAGGTGCTGTTGTTTCTTATAAGAAAGTGAGTGGAGTGGTAGGTCAGCCAGTTACACTATCCTGCTCCTATTCAGTGGCAAATGGAGTCACCTCCATGTGCTGGGGCAGAGGGGTGTGTCCTACATCTCAGTGCTCAGAGCAGATCATCTGGACGGATGGTACCCGCGTCACTTTTCGGAAACACACACGTTATGATCTGAAGGGGAATATTTTACAAGGGGATGTGTCTTTGACCATAGAGGATGCTGTTGAGACTGACAGTGGCTTATATTGTTGCCGTGTTGAGCACAGGGGATGGTTCAATGATCAGAAGATCACCCTGTCACTGGAGATTAAACCAGGTAAGCTTATCTTCATTCTTTGGGTATTTCATGTGGGCTAACTGAATTTTCTGTTAGGTAGTAATTTTCTCTTTGCCTCTAATAGGGTAAAAGGAAGTTCCTATAATCTCATTTTTTCAATAAACTTGATCTTGGGAAATAGAGTAACTTTTATTTGTGTGGATGCAGTTGTAAAACCAACCTTGATCCAAGGCCTAAGGTCAACAAATAACCTCCTGAAGCAGGACTTCAGGACCAGCTTTTTTCCATGAAATAACATTCACTGTTCCAGAGGGAGTATTTTATGAAGCTACATTTATTCGACTTAAATAATGTCCCCTAGTATTTTCTTGAAATTGTATCTTATAAGAATGTTAAAATGTGCATTAAGAAAAACATTTTAGGGTCATTATTGAGTTCAAATATGAAAAATAAGCAGTAGAAATTATTGTTGTTAAATAAATTATTGCTGTTATAATAGCTATTGGGTCAACCTTGTTGAGCATGTGTTTTATGTATTTGAATGATTTGACTACCTCTCCCTGTCCTATGCAGAAATTTTTAAAGCATATCTCATATTATACTACAAAAATTGCTTCTTTAAAAATGCAAAAGACTTTTCATGAAAAGGTTTGCATTCTAACAACTGTTCACCAGTGGCTTTTAAAAAGTTTAAGAGATTAAAAAAAAATCTGAGGATATGATGTTTCCCATTTGGATGTGGACATCCTAATTTTCCTCATTACTTTATGAAAGGAGTAGGTTCTTGAGGATTTCCTGGTCTCTGGTAGTTTTTCCTACTGAGTCTCTTTCCATTAAGATCTTCCCTGGATGATAAAACCCCAAACCTTTGCCCTTAACAACCTGTGTCTCATTTTTCCTTCTCTCTCTCTTAATTATGAGGAACACCGTTTTGCAATCTATCAGGTTTTGTACTTGGTGTATTTCCTTTTAAAGATAAGGTCACTTCTGATAGAGAGAATAGCTGACTCCAGGGAAACTGTCTGTGAGGGAGTTTAGGGAAACCCAGAGAGGCTGGTGGTGTCATGTGCTGTAGACAGATAGGGGTAGTGGCTTGTGGAGGTTTATGCACAAATGTTTCTTACAGTTATGAAGTGATACTGCAATCCTGCTGATTTCTTTAGAAAAGGATTTATTTATTTTTATTGGAAAGTCAGATTTACAGAGAGAAGGAGAAATAGAAAGATCTTCTGTCCACTGGTTCACTCTCCAAATAACCACAATGACTGGAGTTGAGCCAATCCAAAGCCAGGAACCAGGAGCTTCTTCTGGGTCTCCTGTGTGTGGGTACAGGGTTCCAAGGCTTTGGGCTGTCCTTGACTGCTTTCCCAGGCCACAAGCAGGGAGCTGGATGGGAAGTGGAGCAGCTGGGATACAAACCGGTGCCTGTATGGGATCCCAGCAGTTGGATTTAGCCACTATGCTATCATTCCAGGCCCAATCCAGTTGATTTTTTTTTTAAATAGCATAGAAAGAAACTAATAGGAGACTCCCATAGTGCTTAGAAATTCTTGAGTAGATGAATGTTTCCAAAGCCCACTGTTTGACTTATTTGGGCAATAGGTCTAGTTAGACCCTGAGTCCATTACTGAGCCCAGCTGTCTCTTCCTTGTTCCATGATCACCACCAACTCTGCTTAAGTTTTCTTATGCTTTTCATTTGAGCCTACTCTTAAACTCTCTTAAGGGTTCCCCTGCACTCCTTCTACTCTTATAGTTTTACAGCTTTCTAAGGGAAATGCTCTTTTGGTAGAAAGGTTCATGTGTTGATTAAATTTCTTTTTCTTTATTGTTCACATTATAATCCTTTGGCCAAAATTTTTGCATGCTAGCTTTTTCCTCCTGATTAGATTTAAAACTGTTGAAGGATTGGATTGAATTGCACCCAAATCTCTGGTTACACATAAGAAATTTAATGAATAAACTATAGCCCTAAGACCAGATAAACTTATCTAATGAACCCACCAAAAGTTTCTGTAAATAACATTTTATTGAAACACAGCTATTCTCATTCATTTATATGTGGTCCTTGGCTACTTTCAGACAGAACTGAGTGGTTGCCTCTGAAGTCATAGGCATTTGCTGTTTGGGTCTTTAAAATTTACTCACCTGTACTTTAACTAATGCCTTGTACCTCATAGATGATCACAAGAATTATTTTTTTCTCTTTAAGGCAAACACTAGTTATATCCCGAATTAAATTTTTTATCTCTTAAAAAGAAGTTTTCAAACCAGTTTCTGGGAATTTTAAAAATTTTATTTATTTATTTTGTTAAATAATCTTACTTAGTTGATTAGGGTACAAAGGGTCAAGGGCTACAGGAAAGTGTGTTATACCATTGTTTCCACACTAATATTTTTTTTCCTTGTATCTGGGGTCAGGGGAGAAACAAAGGGAAAAGCCCCACCCAGCCTCCCACCCATCCCCAGCCGCCGATGTGAGGCAAACTCCGAGGGTTCTGCTCAAGCAGTTTTGATAGTTCAGCAGGTCTGAATTGCTGCCAGTCTTGCCATTCCAATCACAATGAAACCTATTTAGAATCCACTGGCTGACATAGTCTCTTCATGGTGGGGGTTCTCAGGTCAGCAGTTCAGTTGGAGGGATCTCTAAAGAAACTTAATCTAAAATTATCCCAAACCTGATTCTTGTGTGAGTTTGCCAATACAGGGTCTGGCACAGTCCATTGTCCCAATCAGCTTATGCATGCTGGTCATTGCAATTGCTGGGTCAGTTCTGTTTCCAATCTTGTCTTCCACTTGAATCAATGGGTGTTGCAGTTCAGCTTGATCCTACCCACTTCATACTCGGTCCTCACGCAGACCAGTGGGCGCTGCAGCCTAGTTGGGGTGACTCCCCATAACCCCCACCAGGCCTGCCTCCTACCCTGGTTCCCATGCATGCCACTATGTACCACAGGCTTGTTCAGCCTGTCCCACTTCCCATTTAGCTCTCGTACTTGTCACTGGGCATTGAAGCCTAGTTCAACCCAACCTGCCCTACTATCCAGCCCACACACATACTGGCAGGTGCCTTTTTGTCTAGCCACCTCTGCCCCTCTCCTGGTTTTCATACTCTCCAGTGGGAGTGGTTACCCATGAGGGAGGTGCCCACTATCTCCCTACTAGGTCTCTCCAACTTCCAGATTATGCACTCTCCAGGTTGTTCTGGGATTTAACTTAACAGAATTAGCCCCCAGTGCCAGCCTCTGCCATCTGAATCTGCAGCAAAGTCCAACCAACCCTCACCCACTCTAATTTTTGCTTATACCAGTCGGAACAGTCAGCCTAATCTGGCCCTTCCCCAGTCTAGCTCACATGAGGCCCACAGGTGTTGTAGCCCTGCCTGGTCTGGTCTGCTCCCATCCCAACTCACGCTCTTCAATGGGAATAGGTGTCCAGCAGAGGAGCCCACATTCCCCTACCCCCACCCCAATTCTCACATGTGTTGTTTGGGTGCTGCAGCCACATCTGGTACAGCTTACCTCACCTTGGCATTCCTTAATGTGCACTGGTATGTGTTGCAACCGAAACTGGCCTGACCCACACTCTATGCTGGCACTTGGATTCGCCCATGGTTGATGTGAACGGGTTCAGCCTGGTCTGCCGCCCACCTATGCCATATGTATGATATCTTCCTCTTGTCTTGTTTGGGTTGCTCCATATTGTGGTTCTTGCGCTCACCTGTAGGGGCTGTGTTCCAACAGAGGAGTTTCCCAAGCTCCTCCTTCAGAACCTCTCCTATGCCAGGTCTTGCCCTGGTGGTTCCATGGGCCAACCCTTATTGCTGGCCTTCAATCCATTCTAGTTTTTGGTGTTGGCTGTTTCACCCCAGCCAAGGCTTGTCCATACCCAGACACTGCTCACACATGGCTCAGTAGGGGCAGAGACCCAGCATAGTGCGTTCTACATCTACCCAGGTTCTCCAGAGCACCAGATGGTTCTGGCGTCTAGCCCTGCTTGGTACGCCTGGTCCCAGTCCACATTTTGCCTAGGGAGATTGCAGCCATATCCATACCTGAACACAGCCCCCACTCCAGCCCCCACACCATCCCATGGGAATCCCAACCCAGCTGTCACAGCTCCCCAACCAAGTCTATTCCCAGCCCTAGATTGCGCACATGTCAGTGGGTGCTCTGACCCAGTTGGCTTAGCTCCTCACCTGTCTCAGTCTTTCTCTTTGATAATGTGCCATAGTATCCCTGCCTCATGAAGACCAGTTGGGGTACGTGCCTAGGTTGGAATGACATGTGCTCCATCCTGATTTTTTTCTTTTTTTGTGAGTTGGGGTTTGCTCAGCCCTGTCCAGTCCGCCCCCTTCCAGTTGCAGCTTGGCCCATTCTACATTCTATTTTAGGATGCAGCTTTGGGTGATGCTGCCTTGACCTGCCCAGATTGCCATCAATTCCTTTACCCATAAGTGATGGCAGGTGCCATGGTCACTCCTAGCTTAGCCCTTCACCACCCCAGCTCATGAGCTAACCTGCGGGACTTGTTTTGCCACAGGGCTCGGCCCACACTTCCCCCACAAACTTTACTCCCGGACCAAGTTCTCTCGTGTGCTCGTTAGTGTCTTGACCCTGCCAAATGGGAAGAGTCCACTATTCCACCACCCAGTCAAGTAATGGTACCTAGCCCTGCCACATAGGCCCCCATCCATAGCTTTGGTGTGGACTGGTGTGTGGCCGTCAGTGACGCTCTATGCTAACAGCCCGTCTTTGGATTCCTAATTTAGCTAGTGAATCAATCTGGCCCAAATAGATCTTATGGACACTCCCCTCCAAACCATCATGTCTCAGTCCCCACACTTGCCTAAAAGTTTCATGATCCTGTTACTGCAAATCGCCCAGAATTCAGAATTCATCTCTCACCTACACTAAAACTTACCTTATTCATGGGTGTCCCTAAGCAGCAATTTCATATCCTAAAATCCCCAGGGCTTGCCACTGGGCAGCTAGCAGGTAGAGCCTGGCACCATTTGGTGCACTCTCCACTCAAAGCTAAGGACTCGTTCACTGCCTTTCGGCAGTGGCTTTGGCCCAAGTCCCCAGCCCTGGATCCAGCCTGGCAGGGGCACCCCCCACAACCGACACACTGTAGGGAGTTGCAAGCCGCCCCCAACCCCAAGGCCCAAACCCCTCAATTTCTGGGAATTTGAGGTTTCACTTTGTCATTAGTGGAGTTTAGATTTTAGGAAACTTCTTGTAAGAAGGAAACTTGCCTGCTGAGAGAAAAATACGTTTACTCTTAATTCATTCCTTCATTGACTCTGCTTTTGTGCCTGGTACTCTGGGTTTAATTTTAGTCTCAGTGGTCTCATTCTCACTAGCTCTCAGATCTTCAATAAGTTTCTTGGATTCCTGTAGCACTTCTGAGTCTAGAAGAGAGTATTACCTCTTAGAAATCTGTAAAGTGTCTCTCAGTGGGGACAAACTCCAGGAGATGTCGTCCTCCTTCTACCGTTCCTATGAATCTGTTGTGATAACCCTCCTTGGGATATAGTGTGGGTTAGTGTGTGGGAGCTAACCCGCTACTAAGATGCTGATTCTTCGGGTATGTGCCATCATGATTGACTGAATTTTATTCTTTATTTGGTCAACCTGTAACTGGAAGTTACTAGTTAAATCTCAGTCATTTACCATGGAGAATATAAAGAACAGCTAACCCTTTGCTTATTTTACAGATGTTTGTGAAGATGCACAAATATATGTATGATTGGGCTTTTAAAAAGTACTTCAATACAAACAGAAGGTTTGTGTTCTCACCTCCTGAATGTAGAACTGTCAGTGCACTTGCTTCGCTTTGTGTGAACAGGTGTCCAAAGCCCTCCCTTGTTGAGCTGGCCAATGACAAAGAACAAGAGTATTAAGGAGAGGAATTCTGCCTAGGGAGACTCACTAGTATGTTGGAGCACAGCTTTGTTTGTGACTTCATTAATCCTCACTTTCATGTTGATTTCTAACTTCAGCCAGGAATGCAAGCATTCCAACATCACCTAGTTTCTCTACCTCTGCTCCTGCAACGCCGACACCCACGCAGAATCACAAACAAGGTAAAGCCGGTGTGTTTCTGAGCTGAGAGCCATAGGCTATTCAGGGAATTGTGTCAAGGCCATTAGTACTTTCTCTGATAAGGATTCTTATCTGGGTTCCAAATATGGCCTGCACAGGGATTGTGGTCCTCCCCACTTCCCAAATCGAATATGCTTTATATGTGCACTAGTATTCTCTGAATGAGGGGGCACACCATGTTTTTATCAGATCCTCAGGGAGATTTATCATTAGCTAAAATAGCTGGGCTACTGAGGTAGAACATCCACCAGGTTCTGGTCCAGGTGGACACAACTTTATAATGAAAGAATAGGAACTATCAGAGAGTGAGGCTCCGATCAGTACTGTTCTGTCCTCACCAGGAGCTCCAAAGAGAATTCGCTTAGCCCGTTCTAAAACTGGGCCAAGCTCTTGAGGATAAGATTTCAGTGATAACTTTTACTATCTCCTACGTAGCAGGAAGCATGCTGTGATGCTTCAAAACATATCATTTAATTTTTAGAATGACAATATCAATTGAGTTCAATCTTACTGAATAGATGTGGGAATACAGAATCTTGTATTCATTGTTGAAAGTCATATGATGAAAAGCAATTGAGTCAAGTCTCTGTTGATTTGAATTTGAGGCTGATGGCTTTAAATATTGGCTCATGCCTCCTATCATGAACACTGAGCTTTATGCCTGGCTAAATTTGTCCTGATTTGACATCCTCACTGAGAAAGACCTTATTCAACGACCCTGTCTCTTCAAGGAAGTCAGTGACTTATGCAATATTGCTTCAAGGGTTCTTTAATGTATTTATGTAGTGAGGAAACTGAGAAAGATGCTCTTTATACTAATGGAAAAGTAAACATCAGATTTTGAAGGACTGTTGGGATTGTGAGTGCACATGTTTTACTTTTTTCAGTTCAGGATAAAAGATTCATACCTCACATTCCCCACAGATGAGAATTTAGATTTAATACAAATGGAAAGTAACTTGACTTACAGGTAGAAAATAATTTATCACTATGAGGATGAGTATAGATTCAAATATTCTATTTTCAGGGTTAAAAATATGAGTTCTAGTGAGTCTTCTTAAAGTGCACCCCCCAAAACCATTTGACCTTTGGCTCTGGATTTACAGGAGTAACAGAAATGTCATCTCCTTTTTGACAGAACGAGCTGATGGAACATATGGATTTCCTTTGACTCCAATTGAACCGTGTGTGTCTCTAACCAGGGGGGATCTGAGGGATTGGGTATGAGCGTGTTCAAGGCGAGGGCCTTAACCATTATGCTATTGCACAGGACCCTCAAGCCTTATTCTTAACCTGATAGTTTGCTAAAGAGAGTTGAGTTTGAGTTGAACTTTGCAGTATAGGGGGTGATGAGCAGTCTAGCTTATCTAACACAGGGACATTTATCTTACGTACAAACTTCTCTGTGTTCCTTCTGGCTGCCTGAAATGTTCATGGGATAATTGGATGTCAGAGTGTTAGAGAAAGAGAGGGAAGAAAGGTGTCAGAGTCCAAACTTGAAAGGTTATTTTGCACACAACTAAACTGAATGAAGACTCGGACCATCTGACTCTCTCATGGCAGTCCGGGATTTTAGGTCTGAAAGAAAGCTACTTCCTCTTACAGGTTTGAGCATTAGCTCTAACCAGTTCAGAATGTGACAGTATTGACACTAGTGAGGAAGGGGAAAAAGCAAGGCCTATGAGATACAGTTCGGAAAGACTGGGGATCCTTGTGCAGACATGATAACTTGCTCCAACATTCTGTGGTGCTTTAAAAGAAGGCAATAGTGTAAAGACCTCATAAAGAGGAAAATGATCAACTCTGATGGTAAGGTGAACTAGCTGACCAAAGACAAAAGAAACGGGCTGGTGCTATGGCATAGAAAATTAAACCTCCGGCTGCAGTCCCAGCATCCTATATGGGTGCTCAGCTGCTGCACTTTTGATCCAGCTCTTTGCTCATGGATGTGAACTGAATTGAGGATGACTCAAGCCCATGGGCCGCTGCACCCATGTGAGAGAGCGGAGGGAAGTTCCTAGCATTGGACTGGCCCAGCTCGAACCATTGATGCCATTGGGGAATGAACCAGCAGGTGGAAGATCTCTTTCTGTGACTCTTTTTCTCTCTGTAACCATTTAAAATGAAAAATTTTTTAATTTTAAATAAAAATAGAAGAGAGATTGCAGGGATTGAACTTAGGAATTCCTTGGAGTTTCTGGGAAGGAATATAGAAGTTCTTCAATAATAAACAGTTCCTAATGGAAATTTTTGGTAAGAAATAGATGAGTCTGACAATATGGAAAATCCTTCTTTTAAAAAATGAAGGATTAGGGTCCGGCGCGGTGGCGCAGTGGTTAAGGTCCTCGCCTTGCATGCCCGGGATCCCATATGGGTACCGGTTCAATCCCGGCAGCCCCGCTTCCCTTCCAGCTCCCTGCCTGTGGCCTGGGAAAGCAGTCGAGGACGGCCCAAAGCTTTGGGACCCTGCACCCATGTGGGAGACCCGGAAGAGGCTCCTGGCTTCAGATCGGCATAGCATCAGCCGTTGTGCTCACTTGGGGAGTGAATCATTGGACGGAAGATCTTCCTCTCTGTCTCTCCTCTCTGTATATCTGCCTTTCCAATAAAAAAATAATAATAATAAAAATAAATCTTTTAAAAAAAATGAAGGATTAGAATGCAAGTACCAAAAAGAACTCGCTTCCACAAAGAATTTTGCTTTGAGGCTTACAAATCATTACCAAGCCCAAGACATTAGACTCTGTTGTCATCTTGAAGAGACCTTAAGGAAGTCAATATTGTATCTATTCTAATGTTGATCAATAATCTGTGCCTTACTCGAGAAAATTGTGTATATGATCCGGATTTGAATAACGCCAAGAAATCCAGATGGGGCTCTGGGGAAAGGGAGAAGGAAGGTTAGTATAAGGTCTCAGGCCCTGTTCCTTTAAAGTGAAATATTATTTGTTTAAATACACTAAATGATTGAGTGTCTGTCCCACTTGATATACTGTTACAGGCCTTGTGTATTTAGAGGTAGCCAAGAAGCTTGGGAAATATGGGATAGTTACATATAGTTAGAGTTAGCTTTTTAGAATAATATATAGATCACACTTACTCATGATGATGAATTCATTTCATCACAGTACAATGTCTAATTGTCATCTTTAAATTAATTTCTAATGGGTTAGAAGTGAATAGGTGGGAGCCTTACCTCCAGAAGGTGGCTGAGTGAGTTCACTGTGAAAAGTTGATGGTAATTCCTTATCTAATTTGATTTTTATTTTGGGTATGCATTTACTCTGTAAATGGGACTCAGTTCTTCCATTCCTTTTATTCTAGTAGCTACTTCATCTTCTCCAACTCAGCCAACAGAAACCCAGCCCACAACACTACAGAAAAGAAGAACCCAACCCACCAGCTCACCTTCCTTGTATTCTTGCCCAACAGGTAACTGCATTTTCTTTTCTAAATACTTGAGAGCATTCAACTCTTGATAAACATTGACATTGTTGAGAGCATACATTTTGAAACAAAGAGATCTGACTTGAGTGTAGTTGTTGTCAGTTGTATGATTTATACAAACATGTAGCCTTTCTGAATCTGCTTTGCTATTTGTTAGCTGAATATCATACCAGTGATGTTGTAGAGTGTTTATGAGGAAAAAATGAGGTGGAGGAGTTTGAACTGAGGGATGACAGATACATTAATAATGATTAGTATTACTCAAGGTATTTAGAATTAAATACCTGTGTGGCACAGGTTATGTGCATGACTTAATATCTACATGTACATTACCACATTTTTATAAATCAAATTATCCTGCCTTGACTTCAGACTTATCATTGGACTTAATCTTTTGGTCTAAAGCCTTCGAATCATTAAAGCCAGCACTCTGGTATAGATCAAATTGATCCCGTGCTTCCTTCAAGCTCTAGATCCTGAATGAAGTCAGGTGTTCACCATTGTGCTTTATCAAATTTGCATCCACTTGAGCATTCTAAGATGTCTACATCCTGCCTGATTGTTTCTACCCTCCCTGCAATAGCATATGGTGAGATCTAGTCCCAGCGCAATCATGTTAGCAGTTCGGGCTTCTGGAAGCTTGTGAGGGCACATCTCTCACAAACACGATTAGTGCCTTTCCAGGGGCTTGTTTTTCCCTCCTCCGACTCCTGACATCACTTAGAAGGTGGGTCCTCACTGGACACTTGTTCTGCTTATGTCTTGACCTTGAATTTCCAGCCTTCAAAACAAACTTTCTGTTCTTTAGAACTGACTCAATTTTAGATATTTTGTTACAGCAATTCAAATTTACTGTGGCTGGTGGGTTGAGGGTAGCAAGAGTGTAAAGAGGCATACCCCACAAAGATCCTGCAGTGACCCCCAAACTAACTCCAGAATCTGGGCAAGGCAGGTTCTTTGCAATTTTGACTCTTTGGAAATCTGCATTTGATCCTTCTTTCCTTAAGGTGTAGAAAGGAGAACCTCGTCAACTTTCCTGGATAACTCTGTTACCCATAGTGCTAAGTTTTGTGAGCATCACATGCTAAATTTTTTTGTGAGGCAGAGTTGGCTTATGTATCCTTGTGTTCATCCAGGCAAGGTCAAGTCTTGCAGGACTCCTCCTGTGTATGACTCATTCTGCTCAGACCGTGTCCGTTTGCAGCTGTTTCTACCCTCCTTGACTTACCTTTTGCCAATCATTCCTGGAAACTGGTTAATTTAAAATGAACCTACAGCGAGATCCACAGAGAGATCCATTCAGTTGGGATTAGATAATGGTGACATTTGTTTTTTTTTTTTTTTTTTTTTTTATTATTTTTTGATTGGAAAGGCGGATATACAGAGAGGAGAGACAGAGAGGAAGATCTTCCGTCCGATGATTCACTCCCCAAGTGAGCGCAACGGGCCGATACTTTGCCGATCCGAAGCCAGGAGCCTCTTCCGGGTCTCCCACGCGGGTGCAGGTTCCCAAAGCTTTGGGCCGTCCTCGACTGCTTTCCCAGGCCACAGGCAGGGAGCTGGAAGGGAAGCGGGGCTGCCGGGATTAGAACCGGCGCCCATATGGGATCCCGGGCGTGCTAGGCGAGGACCTTAACCACTTGCGCCACCGCGCCGGGCCCGACATTTGGTTTTGAAAATGAAATCCTTGATGTGAACTGTTTCTGGGCACAAAAACAAAATGAAAATAGATAAAAACACAAGGTAACAGCAGTAGGAGCAGCTGCAACCATGTCTTTCTGACTATGAGGAGGAAGACAGTAGGAGGAAGAAATCCTTGCTAAAATATCATGTCATTAAAACCTGGTCAAGGTGGAGCTTTCCAGAGTAGAGCAGACATCGGAGCAGCTGTGTCCCCAGGACTCAGGTAAATTCTGCCATTTTGGCAGACTGTTCGAGTCTCTTGGGCCAAGTGTTCACTGTGTCCGTGTCAGCCTCTGTTGGCTAGAGGTTCTTGAAGGCAAAACATGTGAAGTCTGGAAGGCATTCTGGCTGTCATATGACCTACCACCCATCTTTGATCTATATATGGGCCGTAGCACTTACACATCATCCTTTAGTTCTTTCAAAGCAGTTCATACTGATTTTCATTGTCAGACTAGAAGCACATAGCTCCCAATTAAGCCACAAGTTACTAGCTACATGCCATGGACGTGTTGAACATTCCTGACAGGATGATTAAAATAAATGGTACTTGGAAAGTGCAATTGTACAGGATCTCTTTCACCTCTTCATTGCTTCTTCCCCCATGCAAAGATAATAATAATTCCTTATATGGTATTAAGGATTTTGTCTTATTTAATTGCAGTTTTCTGTATAACTGTGCATCTTTTTAAAGGTAAATAAACAGAGATAAAGAGGGAGAGAAGGGGGTGAAGAAAAGAGACGAGAGAGACAGAGTCAAAGAGAAAGAGAGAGAGAGAGAAAGAAGGAGAAAGAAAGAAAAGAGAGAGAAACCTTCCAACCACAAGTTTATTCCTCAATGGCCACAATGGGTAGTGCTACACCAGGCCAAATTCAGGCGCTGGGATATTCAGCCAGGTCTCCAGTGTGCATACGGGGCCCAAGTTCCTAGGCCTCCTTTCCCTGCTTTCCCATGCACATTAACAGGGAGCTTAATTGGAAATGGAGCAACCAGGAATCCAGGTTGGCACCCTAATTGGATGCTGGCATTGCAGGTGGTGGTATAACCTGTCCCACAATGCTGGAGCTATATTCTTTATTACAAAATAGGTGTTTTTAAAAATTTCCATCAAAATTTTTTTTCTAAAAATGGTATGAGATTTATTGGTCTTATGGATAATATCTTTTCTGAAGCATTTTTAGACTAGGCTAGGCATATTGGTATATCATGCCAACTTATACATCGCTTAATTTGGATATCATGGTGCATTTTGCTCACATTTAGAAAAAAAAAAGCCAATGCAATGTCCATTCAAAATTGGGTAGTTTTGCTCTTTGGATGTGCATGTGGTCTCTGGGGTCTCTTCTGTGACTTTTTAACTGGCATGAAGACATTGATTGCCATTAAGTGGGCCTTCAGATCTGGTTCTGTGTGGACCTCTATGATCCCTCCAGAACTGTAGGTAAAACCTTTTGTGTGCTTTTGAGTTTTTTTCCCCACAAAGAGATAAAAGAGCTTATTTTCAAAGAGCCCATGACAAAAAGGTTAAGAAATACAGCTTTACAATATGAATTAATAAAATGTTAGCACATTGGTATGACTTTTGAAATGCCTGTAGCAATTGATCATATTATAATTCAACTTTTCATTCATCACCAGAAGGCAATGTGAATATATTTAGTATCTGCAGTGAAAATTCAATATTTTTAAATTCTAATTAATTTTCCTTCTTGTTGAGCAGATGGGAATGGCACCATGACACAGACTTCAGATGGCCTTTGGCATAACAATGAAACTGTAAGCATATTCCTTCCCATTTTGTTAGCCAGATTCATTTGTATATTTTCCTGGAAGCAAGTTTCATTTTAAAACTATTTCTCTAAGACTATTCCACAGATTGATATCTTTTCTACTTTTAAAAAAGGAAATGAATCTGGTTCTTACAAAAAATAATTTTACAAGTTCGTGTAGGTGAATCTGCTTATTACTAATGCCCAGTAAATGCTATTTAAAATTTTTTTCTTCTTTTAAAATTTGTTCCTTTGTGCTATTTTACTGAATCTCTCCTCTCCTCTCCTCCCCTCGCCTCCCCTCGCCTTCCCTCGCCTTCCCTCTCTTCCCCTCCCCTCCCCTCCTCTCCTCTCCTCTCCTTTTCTTTCTCCCCTTCTCTCTGTCACACACACATGCATACACACTACATAGACCATCCCCTGGTGAAAATTTACAAAAACAGAATGAGATAGTAAAGAATAAAAGTTAACATGATATTTCAAAGAGTTTCAATTATCATTAGAGAAACAACATGATTTTTTTAAAGAAAAGGAACATTTGTCCCACCCACCTTCCTCCATACCTGACTCTTCCACCATGATCAGAGACTCACATGGGCATGCATCTCTCTCAATTATGTAAACAGTATTACAAAGAAAATGAAAAATTAGGGAAAAAATTGATCTGAATCAGTGTGGGGTAGAATATAGGTCATCTCAAACAAAAATGGATAAAGGTGAAAGTAGATTCTTTTCCCAGACAACAGCCAGTCTACATAGAAACATTGTTTTAAAAAATATTTATTTGAAAGACTGAGTTCAAGACAGAAGGGAGAAAGAAGCATCTCCTATTGTGGCTTCACTCATCAAATGGCTGCCATGGCCAAGGCTGGGTCAGGCTGACACCAAAGCTGGAGCTCCACCTGGGTCTCCCCTCACCTTCTGTTGCTTTAACAGGCATGTAAGTGGGGAAGCTGATTTGCAAGTTGAACAACTAGGACCCAGACTGGTACTCATATAGGATACTAGGGTTGCAAGTAGCAGCTTCACTTGCTTTGCTACAATACTAGCTCCTCATTTTAGAATCTTTGAGGCCATGGTTGATTTTTTTTCCCCATGTGTAAACCTTCCCATAGGATGAGTCATTCATGTGTAAAATTCTTAACTTTGGTTTTCTGAGCTGTTCGTACATTTTTCTCACAGTATTCTTGAGAAAAATCAGAGTGGCTCTGATCTTATAATGTTTATCAAATTCTCATTTTTGCAGGTAATTTAGAGAAATTTATCAAAGGGACCCTTTCTTTTGGCTCCTGAGGGAACATACTTTTCTTTGTAATATGGGCAAATGGCTGTTACACACAATGTCAAAAGGAGTTATTAGAATAATCCTTTTGATACCAGTTGTGAGTAATGACAACATGGCCATTGTAAGAGATATTTAAAAGGCTTGGGCATGATGGAATTGTTTAGGAAGGGCTAAAAGGTCTTTTGCTGGACCTTAATAATAACAAGAACACCACCACATAGGCGTGATAACAATAAATTTAACAATTTAGATGGCATGGGCACTGATTGTACTGTTGCATATGAACTGAATTTGTCCATACTGACTAAATATTACAAGCACCACCATGTAAATGCTTTTTGTATTACTATATGATTAGATTTTTGCTGGCTTTAAGAAAACACTCCAAATGGTAAAGTTAACCTGCAGAACAGGAAAATTAAAAACCAAATAGAAGTAGTTTTAGAAGCAAGTTCAAAGTAGATGGTGGTAAAATGTGGACTTTTTTGTATCTTCTTTAAAGACATCAGGATGTCTCCCAGATGTTTTAGAAATAAACAGTGCATATTTTCATCCAGTAGGTTAATTTCCTGGATTCTATGTTTGGAAGAGACTGAAATAAATACATAAAGCTTTATGAGAAAGGCTGTTCATTGCTGCTAGTTACAATCATGTAAATGCTACAACAGCTTTCACATTTAATAGTGAGAAATTAATAATTTAGCTAATGAAGCATGCCCACTTATTGCCATTAGAATCTTATGTAAAATCTTTTGGTTGATCTCACTGAAGGTAAGCAAATAGGGGCTTCTTATAAGGGGTCGGGGATAAGGGTCGTGAAGGGGGAGGAGGGTGATTAAGGATTACCAAACTCTGTGATTTGTTAGGAGAAAAAAGTTCTGGTGTTTTATTCCATTGCAGGGTGATTATAGACAATAGTGAGCTGAATTTTTTCAAAAATATTTATTTGATTCATGATGCAGTCATGTGGGACAGGGAGTGTCTTTTTTGACTAGTTTATTTCCCAAATTGATGCAACAGCAAGGAGTGGATCAAGTTGAAACCAGGAGCCCAGAATGCCATCTTTGTCTCGTACCAGAATACAGTGTCCCAAACAATTGGCCATCTTCTGCTTCTTTCCCAGGCACATTAGCAGAGGCCTGGATTGGAGATGGAGCTGCTGGTACTCAAACCTCTACCTGTGAAGAATGTTGGCATTGCAGGTGGTAGCTTAAAACACTGTACCACATCACAGGCTTTGTGAATATTTTTGTTAAAAAGATTAAAAAAAGAAAGTGAAAGAAAAGATTTGGAATTTTTTTTTTTGCACATTACAAATGCTTGAGGGGATAGATAAGTTTATTTAGAATTACACAATGCATTCATGTATAGAAACATTACCCAGTACTCATAAGCATATATAATATTTATGTCACAGTTAAAGTGAACAATTCATCAGTCTTTTTTAAAAAAATTATGCTTTTTTATTTATTTGAGAGGGAAAGTGACCAAGGAGAGAGAAAGAATTTCGCCACTGTTGCTCTCCTCAGATGGTCATAATGGCTATGTCCGAGTCAGGCTGACCACTATATCCTTGGTATAATTATCTTTGATATCCTATAATATATTGTTTCAACTTCATAGAGTTTTTTGAAAAAAATTATTTCTCCTTTCTTTCTTTTTCTTTCTTCTCTTCTTCATTTCCTCTGTTTCTATTTTATTTTCTTTCTGATTAGCCAGAAACTGAATCAGAAGTGAACCCAGGACTTGAACCAACACTCACATTGGATACTGACATTGCAGGAAGCGGCTTAACACACTGCGCCACAATGCAGGCCCCAATCCTGGCCCTTAAAAAAAGTGTCACGGCAGGAAACCTGCTGTGATGGGGAGGACTGGTTTATCATGTATTGTTAGGTGAGAATAGCAACTTCTGTAATAGTGTGTGCACTATATTATACAGAGAATTTAGGAATTGTGTCCATCAAAAAAATCACCAAGAATAAAATTCTAGAAGAGTATATAAGGCAAGATTATCGTAGAACTTGTTTCTGGATACTAAGATTGTGGTTAATTTTAGTTTTGCTTTTGCATGTTCAACTGCATGTTCTGAAAGAATATACACTATTAATATATTATAATTTAAAAAAATGAAAGCAAACCTTCCCATCACAAATGCATCCTCTATTCTTTTACTCACTCCTCACCGCCTCTCCAGCATGGTAAGGTAATAGCAAAGCTTTCCCTCCTAGACACAGGCTGTACCCCCTCTAAATAATGAATGGCTCAAATGTTGTTACCTTCCTCTGTATTCCTAATAGCATGTATCGGGAAGTGCCTGAGAATACCTTCTGTAAGAACTTTCCTGATTCTGTTGTTCATAGACACATAGAGAATCAGAAAGGCTCAGTAACTGGCCACCATTCACCACGTGACTAAGTAGAGGAATTGGATTCATGCTGTATAGTTCAGTTCTTAGCTAGAAGACCCTTGATCCTTGGCTCTCCATTTCCCTCCTGTTAAAACAGCTGCTCTGGGGGGTGTTTTGGGGATCAGAGTCGAGCTCTGGAAAGGTGGGCATGGGAATCCTGGCATGTTTTGGGCTTGTTCCAGGAGATGGTCATTCCCTATGATTTGCAGCAGGAGATTTAAACACAATTCTGTATTTTTATTTACTTTCATGGCCTTAAATTGTTAATCAGGGCCGTGTATGGGAGCAGCTACTTTCAGTTTACTTATATAGACATATAGCGCATCTTGCTTTACAGTTTAAAAAATCAGTAAGGGCTATAATCGATTTCAAGGGTTGAACACATTTGGTAACTTTAGATCAAGTCAACATATATGATCAAAAATTGTTTTCTTTTTTATTATCATGAGAAGACATATTTATTGAAATAGCTGATTGGTTTTGTTTTTAAGTTTACACACATTATATATAGATCCATTTTCAGCATTCACTTTTTAGTTTTTGACAAATGTATCCACCTACGTAAATACCATCCCAAGGAGATACAAAACATTTTCATCATCTTAAAACATGTTTTGAATTTAAAATTGTCTTAGAATTTCACCATAGCTTATAGCCTCATATCTTTTGATTTTTTGTTCGTGCCTCTGAAATAGCCAAGAACCAATGAAGGTCAATTTGGCTAGGTGACTCTAGGAAATGTTTTCTGCTCACAATTCTAACCAGGTGCTTTTTCATTCTGCTGATGCTTCCTCAGCAAGTGTTTCCAGCACAGAGGCCGTGGAGCACCGCAAGGGAACTCTCCATCGGAATCTGCGTTTGTGTCTTGGTGTTGGTCATTGTTTTTGTTATCGTCATCATCAAAAGTAAGTCACTTCCCAATTGTTTCTGAGAGTCTGGAGCGAGGACTCCACAGCCAGAGTACCTGGATTCAAGGAGCTCCACAGGCCTCCTGACTGTGCTTTTTCCAAGACTTCCCCATGTCCCACAGACCTTCTCCATAAGATGCACATGGCACTGTAGTACCAGCTCCCGCAAGGGGAATGTGAGGATTAAGTGCCTTAGAGCTTCACAGCAATGAGGATGGGATCTGGCACCCAGTGCACGCATAGCAATCTGAAACTGTTGCTATAATCAGGAAAGACCTTTCTGTAATAATCTCTCTAAATCTCACGAAACTTGCAATACAGAAGAGCTTTTGCTTAATCTTATTCTTTGTTTCTTCAATTATAGGATTCCTAAGGAGAAAAACTAAATTTAAATTCTCTATAATAGAGTTACCTCTCCATATTGGTGGGGCTTGGTATCCTGGGATACTCCTGACCCTTTCCCCGACAGATACCAAAATCCAAGGATGCCAAAATCCCTTATGTAACATGGAATTATATTTGTAAGCAACCTGTGCACATTCCTCCATGTATTTTAAATCATCTACAGATGATTTATGATATAAAGTACAATGTGAAATCTGTATAAGTAGCTGTTTATACTGTATAACAGCAAGAAAAAAATCAGTATATGTAGAGCACACACAATTTTTTTGTTTCTTATTTTTTTTTTTTCCATTTAAGATTGGTTGAGTCCTTGGGATGTTGAACCCATGGATACTGAGGGACAACTATACTAAGCAACAAGCTGGAGGGGTTAAATGGCAACACACCATTGTAACATGTAGGATTGGTTCTCTGATTCTCAGGATCCAACATTTGACTCTTAGGAAATTCTAGAACACCTGTTTAGCGGAAGAGGCAAACGGTGGGAAGGGAATCGTTACAGGACTGGGTATGGGACAAAGGGCTCAACGGCAGACATTTAAGACTGCGTGTCCCTCTTCTGCCAGCTGTGCACATGTGTTTCTCTCAGTGTAACCTGCCTGGGACAGAGGCACAGTCCTCTGGTGTACCTTGGATTCCAGATCATTACTGATTTATTGCATGTGTCTAGGCAGAGGAGAGTTAAGAAACTAAGAATTACACTGTGTTAGAATAATTATTAAAAATTAGAAAAAAATTAGAAGGTAGATGGGTGGGCATTTGGCTTAGTGGTTATTTAAATATTTTAAGTTTTATTAGACAGATATACAGAGTGGAGGAGATACAGAGAGGAAGATTTTTCGTTTGTTGATTTACTCCCCAAAGGGCCGCAATGGCCTGAACTGAGCCGATCCAAAGCCAGGAGTCCAGAGTTTCTTCTGGGTCTCCTACATGAGTGCTTCGGGTTGCCCTAGATTGCTTTCCCAGGCTACAAGATGGGAGCTGGATGGGAAGCAGGGCCACCAGGATTAGAACCAGCACCCATATGGGATCCTGGTGCCTGCAAGTAGAGGACTTTAGCTGCTAGGCTAACACGTGGGACCCTTGGTTTAGCATTTAAGATAGCTATTTAAGACACCTGCATTCCACAACAGAGAACTTAGTTTGATTGCTGGCTCTGGCTTGTGAATGCAGATTCCTACTAATGTGGCTCCCAGGAGCAGTAGGTGATGAGTGCCTGCCACCCACTTGGGGGACCAGGACTGTTTACCCAGATCCCATTACGGATACTGGTGAGTGAATGAGTAAAGAGAGAGTTCTCTCTCTGCTTCTCAAATAAAAGTAAAAAAAAAAAAAAACCTTGCATGAAAAGCCTTAAACACATTCTCACCCTTAACTAAAATAACTCTTTAATTCCCATTTATGGAGAAGGATGACTGGGAATAGAAGCAATCCTTAGAATGAGTTAACATCCTGGTATCCCAGGACAGCCCTGGTAAATGCCGCTCTCTGGCAGCCCATCAGAAAAATCCTGGATATTTTCACTTCCTTTTTTTTTTAAATGAAAATTAACTTAGCTTTAATACTAAAGGAAGTCATGGTGTATGGGTAACTGCACCAAAGCATTAATGAAAATGAGACGGTGGAGAGCAAAGGGCTTGTTCTGGGGTCCACTCTCACAGGAAGGAGTTAGCTGAAGTTACTGGGAAGGGGCCAGGTGATAAGAGGAATGACCCACTCGGATGGAAGTAGATGACACGAGCTCTTGCTGATGTACGTAACATTCTCTCTAACTCTGCTCCTCTCTCATGCAGAGTATTTCTACATTAAAGAAAAGATGCAGTCCCTGAGGTAAGCTTGTAAGCACATATGCCGATGCTTTTTTATATTCCTGCTCCATTGAATTAAAGAAGATGACGTTTTTATGCCCTGGATCCTGAAAAATCTAGTATAATAAGCACTTTTATTATTACCCATTGACATTTTTAGCTTTCTGTATTTTTTTTTTTTTTAGATTTGTGATAAAACTGATAGAGAAAGAGCACCTAATCCTAACTCACTAGCGCAAGAGAACTAAATTGCAAATTTTACTTGATGGAACAAAACATTCAGGGAGTTGCTTTGGCTTGTTCTTTCACTTTCATGTTCCTTTTAACTGATCAGTTATTGAGAACTTGTTATATTCCAAAATGAAGAGTGAAACTGACAGAAAACATCTAAGCAAATAGACAGGATCCTTTTAGGTTCTTCCAGATAAACACCAGACCATCATGCAGGATAGTGGGTGGTTTGAGTTCCAAGCAAGCACACGGTTTGGAAGAAGATAATGTCTGACTAAAGGGGCATTAAGATAGGGCAAGTGCTTCTAACTATCCATGGCTTCCACCCTTCCCTACTGCTCCATTCCCAGCTTGTCCCACTCATTTACAATAGTTGTCTGGCCCTGTAGGCTCTTGGACGTACTTTATTTGTTAAGACATTTCAGTTTACCCTGATGCCCAATTAAAACTTAAAGCCACTCTATGCTATGTTGTTATCTTGCAATGGTAGGAGATGCCTACTTAGTTTCAAAGTCAGTCAACCTGTTTGTTGTGGTTCAGGTTGAGCATGAAGGCAAGACTTTTTGAATCAAGATTCACCACTTTTAGGTCCCCATCCATTTTTGCTGGTTCTTGGGATTGGATATTTACATACAGATCCCATTATACTTGAATTAATTATGTGAGGCAATCTGTAGAACATGCCTCCAATTGTGTCCAGTACATGAGAAGTTCTGACTGTGATTTGACTATTTGTATTGTAACATACCCTTCACAGCAGTAAAAAAAAAAAAAAAAGTTTGAGGTAGGTACTATTCTCATTTTATAGACTAGAAAACATTCAGAAATGCGAAATGACATTTGAGGTCATAAAGCATGTCTCACAGAAGACTCAGTCTTAGGAATCCAAGCTTAGAAACAGTTGGGACTAACAGGTTCTGAGAAAGGAAAGGAAATGTTCCATATAGGGAGAGAGGAATGAAACAGCGTCTTCTCTGTTATTTAATTCCTGTCCTCGTGGTAACTTGATATCTTTTATTTTAAAGATTTGCTTTTTATGACCCAATTATAAAGTAAAATGTTGTGGAAAATATAAAACCTAGACAAAAAAACCTATGCTGCTTGACATATATGCATTCTCTCATGGCATTTTCTTTTTGGCACTTGTATCCTTTCTGTCACATTGAGTCATTTGAATTTACTGACACCTATACTGAGTGTTTTCACACATGTGTGATGGGTTTGCTTAAGAATGGCAGAGTAGAGTCATAACTTATGTCCCTTTAGATATATTCAGTGTTCTTCCCTTTGGGCCTCGGGTTTTACATTTTCCAGGCATGCTTGAGTTACAAAAAGCATCACTATAGATAAATGACAAAGCATTCGTTGCCACACAGCGTCCAACACAAGTGAATGCAAAGTCTGTTTTCTGCCCTGACATGTCTTGGTTTCTCTGAAATCCAAAGGTCAGTTCCTGTGACCTCTTGAAGGAGCAGGAGATAATACAGCAAGCTCTCGAAGCCACACAGTAAACATCCCATAAGCTGATGTGAAAGGCAGTCACACAGAACACCAAAGACTCATTCCAGAAGTTAATCCCTAGTTCTCCATGTGGCAGATAGGGGTTCATGAGTTCTAAAGGTAATCAGGCATAGGTATTTGGTACTGTGGTTAAGATGCTACTTAAGGTGTCTGCATCTGGTATTAGAGTGCCTGTTTGAGTCCTGCCTTTTCTGATGCCACTGTACACTTCAAGGCAGTGATGGCCCCAGTACTGGGTTCTTTCCATCCTCCTGGGGGAATCAGATTGCGTTTCTGGTTCCTGGCTTTGGCTTGATTCTGGCTGTTTACAATATGTGGGCAGTAACCAGTCAATGGAAGTCCCCTCCCCCAGCTTCTTGTCATTCAAATAAAGCAAAAGTAAGTATAAAAAATATTTCAAAAGGTAACCTCATCCTAGTTTTTGAAATTTAACCACAAGAGACATGAAGATTTTTTACATCAGTGCCTACCTCATACTTTAGAAACAACACTATTTAACTACATTCTTATTTTTCTAGTCTATATTAAACACGTGATGTATAGTGCTGAGTGGATTCAATAACTCTCTCTAAAGAGTCACAGTCTACAGCTAAAGAGCTCCAGTAGATAAATTCTTAGCCATATTTGAAAATATGCATATTGATTTAGTAACTCAGTTTGGTGTTGAATATCTTTTGGAGTTTCCATTTTTATATTCTCTTATATGAGTCTTCTAAATATGAAGCCAATCTGAGTTTTTTTAAAAAAAAATACTTCTTGGATTGTTTATATACCATGTAACAGATTTTCCATCAACTTCACACTCAGGGCTACTTTTTTCACAACTCTAGGAAGTGCTGCTGATTTCATAGCATATATGCATGGAACTGCTAGCATCTCAGATACCCACTTTTGCTTGACCAGAAGTGTAAGCATTGCTCATTTGTTGAAATTGGTCTGCTTTTTCCTTGCTCACAATGCTTTTCCACAACTTTCTGCAGTATGGCTTCACTGAATGGTTCTCGGACTGGAACTTTGCAAACTGTTCTTGAAACTCAAGTCCGAGCGGAAGACAATATCTACATTATCGAAGACGATCTTTATGTCATGGAATAAGACCTGGTGAGGTTCTTAAATGTTGCATGCAAGGCTGCAGAAGACAGTGACCAGATATCTGGCTCCCTGTTGAATGCCCTTCTAGGATCGTGTGTCTGTGTCAGTCTCATTCAGCATTCCAGCATGTCAGTGATAGTAGATTGGGGGACTGCAGCTGAAAACTATAGATGATCAGTGTCATTACTAACTTAGCTCTATTTTTTTTCTTTTACTAAAACTGACTCAATCTTTGTAAACAATACAGAGTTCTCTCTTGAACATTCCCGAGTTACTTGTTCTCTCTAGACTCCATGAATTACATAGTCATCAAAGAAATCAGGAACTGGAAACATGGGAAATGATTATCTTGTTCCCTGAGGTGGAAGCTAAAAATCAGACAATCCAGTTTGAGACTTCTTTTTGAAGAAAGCACTGAATACTTCTTGTTTCCTTATTGTAAGGTTAAATGTTACATTTCTTAAGTTTTTCAAAGACTGCAGATCACAGAAGTGCACACGCCTTTATTTTCCTGTAGGGTCATAGTTTAGTTTTACCATTCCTGATTTGTCAATTTTCTTACAGCTTTGGGTACATTGCGTGCTTGATCTCTGGACCAGGGAAGTTATTTTAGCTCTTCAGATGACATTAGAATAGTGCGTTCGGATGAAGCCAATGCCAAGGGAAGGAAATAATTGGCCCTGAGATTTTACACATTATGGTATTTCTATATCTGTACAATTGTACAAGAAACTTGTACAGATAATCATCAGAATCTCAAATGATTTTTAGGATGAGGCAGAGCAGAAATGAAAGGGGGGAAAGAAGAGGAAATAGAGAAAGGATTTTGCCTGAAGAAAATTACATTGTGATTATAATAGTTTTTGAGTCAATATTCTAAATTTCACAATTGTCTCCAAACTACTTGTATATTTCGCTTTGTTTCAAAAGGCTAAAGACTCTTTTTTTGAAATCAAATCCATCTGTCTAATGCTATTTTTTACAGTTTAATTTAATTTGTGGTTTCCTCAAGAGAGTTAAAGCATTGTTGTAAGGATATTTTCAGTCACTTTTTAACGGCACACAAGCATAGATCAGCAAGGGCCAGGAAAGTCAGAAGAAAAATATTTCTATACAGTTAGCCACAGTGGTTATTAATTTCTATTTCCGTTTGAGTAAACTCTGAAGTTATTTGCACTTGGGGTTCAGAGCTCCTCACACCATCGTGGTCTAGGAGAGCAGGATACTTGCTTTCAAAGGTCACAATTTCAACACTGTTCTGTCAAGTTCGTGGAAACTAATAGGTTGTATGAATTAAGGTTTTTTTTTTTTAAAAAAATAAGATTATGCCACAGTACTATATATCAAGTTTCCAAATCAGTCAATCTAATTTGACCTAAACTTTTATTTTGTTCAAATTGCAAGTTTCTCTCTTTTTTTTTTTCCATTCCTAATTTTTAGGGAAGGTGCCCAAACTTGGAGGTTTGAAATTAAAGCTCAGATTTGCAGCTTCTCTGGAAAGACACGATGAGATTGAATTGCGTTTGGACACTCTCTTTTTTTTCTTTTTTTTCTTTTTTTTTAACCTAACAGCGATAGGGCTTTGAGCTTGTGATGTCTACTCTGTTTCAAGTGCCCTTCATGGAGGTTCATGATGCACACTGGAGGCTCTGGGATTCTGAATAACTTTGTTTAGTCCAGTATTTCTCAAATACCGTGACTGCTAGCATCCTGTGAAATAGTAGTGTGGGCTTTGGGGCTTTGGAGAACACAAGTGCTATATAAGGTTAAAAATAGGACCTCAGTTCTAATCCTAACCTTAACAGTAACACTAAATGATATCAGGCAATGTTGTCCTTTATGCCTAAATTTTCCCCTTTATAATTATTTCATATCTACAATGGTATATAGTAGTCATCCCAAATGAAATGTTATTTTTGAGAAGTATTTGAAGAGTGGAAAACACTACAGAAGTGAAAAGAAATTCCCCAATAGGTTACTAATAATAAATGTAGCATGAGTCTCGGTAAATAATTTCTGTGATCTTACACTGATCAGTGTTTTTTCTTTTAAACTTCTTCAAAAAATCTGATGTTGGATAATTTGGCTCTCAGCTTGTAGGGTAGAAACAGATAGTCAATATCTGACTGGAACAAAGGGCAAGAAGGAGGGAAGGGGAGAAACTTAGTTTGCATATGTATTTCTGAAAACATTAAGCTTAAATTTTTAAAGTAACAGTTTTATAAATCATATTGAACTTTGTTTTTTGTTTTTGATCATTTGAAGCACAGTTGAGATCCTGTTGCCTATAATTTTGGGTCATGAGGACACTGGTGTAATTAAGACTCCTTATTTAAACTCAAGAAATTCTGTGTATCTTTAAGAAGTTGCCCTGTCATTAATGTGTACTGATAGTTGTAAAAATGGATTAATTATATGAGTGCATGAAAGTATAGAGGGTTCTCAGTGGTTGTGTATCTTCATTTAAACGTACGCTTATCAATAAAGGAGTTTTGCTTTGTTTCTTTATGTGTCTTTTTATTTGAAATCAACTTGCCATCTTCTTGGGCTTCTCAGTTTGGGTCAGGCTGAGAACTCATGTGCTGTGAACTTCTAGGTCATGGGGGTTTCAGATATTATTGTAGGTGTTATGGAGGTAGCATAGAGCAGTCCTGAGCTTAGCTCCCATTTTAATGGAAAGACACACATCCTTTCTGCTACACTGAATGTTCATGAAAAGAAATATTCTGACAGGCTGGATTCTCAGTCAGTGCTTTTTGGGCTAAGAGACTGTTGGGGCTGCCCTGTGCGTCATGGAATGTCATCATCATCTGGTATCTCTTCCATTTGAGATGCCAGTCATGCTATCCAACTGTGACTTCCGAGAATGTCTTGTGAGGGTGCTAACAACCCTGGGTGAGAAACACTTTAGAGTACATGGCGGTTGAGAGGAGGGAAGTGTTGCAGTTTCAGTTGGCTGGTTGTGGGGAGGAAGGGCAGGGCGGCTGCCTTTGGGAAAAAGGTGATATTTGAACTGAAACCAAAAGGATGTGTGGGCAGCAGCACATGAACATTTGGTGAAAGGAAGCCACCAAATGCAAAGGCCCTGGGGCAGGAAGAAGTATGTGTATTAAGAGATAGAAAGTTGTGTTCTATGGATATAAAAATGCTACTGGGATTGCAGCAAAGTGTGTGGGAGGAAGGTGGCAAGGTGGGCAGTGTGTCTCTACACATGCATTTGTTAGAGAAAGGAGTCATCTTAGAAAACAAACCACAGTGGGGCTGGTGCGATGGCTCAACTGGCTAATCCTCCACTGCCAAGTGCTGACATCCCATGTGGGTGACAGTTCATGTCTTGGCTGCTCCACTTTCCATCCACCTCCCTGCTTGAGGCTTGGGAAAGCAATGGAGGATGGCCCAAAGTCTTGGGACCCTGTACTCGTGTGGGAGACCTGTTTAGTACTGAACTCTTTACTGTTTGCCCCCTATTCACCTTGCCTGCTTCCTGGAGTCCCTCTGTACAGTGCATCTAAATGACTCAGGTATCAGACACCTGTTGTCCACTCCAGAGAGCATTGCTTGGCTACTTGTCTCCTGCTAATGCCTGAGTGATGTTATTCCTCAGGCTGACCTCTGATATGACCACATTAGCCCTTCTAGATGCTATTCCCCTGGATAGAATTAATCCACAATGGTGAACATTTATGTGCAGAATCTTTTAATTAATTTGGGGTAATGGTGTGCCCCCATGTGTCAGGTATGGTGCCCAGCTCACCAGGTCACTGTACATGAGGCTGGGGCCCCACCTTGCCTGTGTGGCACCTTTGAATTACAAGGAGTACTCCCCCTAACTCCGACACTTACTTCTGGCTGATACAGCCCTGAGCCAGGGCAGAATCTTGTCAAATGGAATCTTACCTGAGGTCTTAAATGGTACAAATTAAAATCATAACATGTGACTCTATAATGAAGTCTCTTGTATCAGGCAGGCTTAGGTTGACAGTACTTTTCATATACAACCCTTCCTCCCCCTTTTTTTCAGCATAACACTTAGTGGTGTTCCGCATATGTCTGCTAAAATCCTTCAATAAATTGATGAAAACATTTTCAAAAACCCTCCCAGTTGCACTGGGTATGAGGACAGTAGGAAAAGTATCTTTAGACACTTTTCTTTTTCTTGTTTTTACAAGTTTATATGACTGGCTAGAGTGTGGTGCCTGTGAGTCCAAAGGACTTTCCAAGACCAGAAATTGGCAAGCTTGCTTGCCTATTAGAATCACCTGGAGAGGAAGTAAAACTATCCATGTCCAGACCATTTAAATTGGAATCTCAAGAGGTGGATTGTTGTTTTCCAATCTCCCCAGGTGAGTTCAGTGTGTAGTATAGCTTAACCACTGGTCTAGAGAGAGTTGGCATGGAAGATGACAGCATGGTTTCATGTTCATTATGTCAAATGCTCTGAGAGAACATAAGATACAAAATAAAACAGGAAAATATCAACTATGAGCTAGGCCAGGTGGACAACGAAGTGGGAAAGGGCAGGACGTTAGCGACAGCAGGTCTGCCCTGTGTCTTGCTTCCGTGGCAACATTATTACATTGGTGGCTGTTTTGGGAAAAGAAGTCTGAATGCTACCATGCTTTTGAAAGCCTTCCCAGAGGTGGCTCATAGCTGTTAGCTGACTTTTTCCCTGGGCCTCCTAAGGACTTAAAAATTGTAGAAATAAACAACGAAGAAAATCCCCTGCAGCCCGCAAGGAAATGCTCGAAGGTAACCTTCTCTGTTTTTTAGTATAGATTGCTGAGGTAGGGTTTCTTCTGTCTGGCTGTCCCTGCATCTGCTAGCGTCTAAAAATTAATATCATGGCTGGCTCACACATTTTTAAAATGGATGTTACTTTTTGGAAAAATTCTTTGGATTCTCAGCAAAATTGAATGGAAAATAGAGTTTCCATGTGGCTACCTTTCCCACCAGACACACTCGCAAACAAGGTTTCCTGCTCAGCATCAACATCTTCCACCAGTGTAGTATATTTGCTATAACTGATTAATCAATAATGACACACCACTGTCAGCAGAAGCTCATGATATATAATTAGGGCCAGTTCTTGGTGGATATTTTATGAGTTTTGGCAAATGTATAATGGCATGTATCTACCATTACAGTGTTAGGGCAGTTTCATGGCTCTAAAACTCTCCTTAGTGCCCTAACCTCCCTTCTGTCCCTAAATCACCAGCAACACTGAACTTTAAACTGTGTCCACAGTTTCACTTCTGTCATGTCATACAAAGTCACATAGTCTTAGCCTTTTCACATGGGCCATTTGATTTAAGAATAAGTATGTATTTGTATCCTTCATTTCTGTAGGCAGTGTCATCACTCGTTTGCTATTGTTGATCGATATTCTTTCTATTGCTTGACTCTGTTATAGTTTGTATATTTCTTTGTCTACCTAGGAATATCTGTGGTTTCCAAATTTGGTAACTATTAATTAAGGTATTAAAGACATTACTGTACAGGTTTACATACAGATTTTTTAAAAAAGATTTATTTATTTTTATTGGAAAGTCAGATATACATAGAGGAGGAGAGACAGAGAGAAAAATCTTCCGTTTGATGATTCACTCCCCAAGTGGCCACAACGGCCAGAAACTGCACCAACTGCCTCTTCTGGGTCTCCCATGCGGGTGCAGGGTCTCAAGGCTTTGGGCTGTCCTCAACTGCTTTCCCAGGCCACAAGCAGGGAGTTGGGTGGGAAGCAGGGCCACTGGGATTAGAACTGGCGCCCATATGGGATCCCGGGTGCATGCAAGGCAAGGACATTAACCACTACACTATCATGCCAGGCCCCTGCATACAGATGTGAATTCTTGATTGATTTGGGTAACTTTCAAGGAGCCTGATGGCTGTGTAGTCCTGAAGGAAACCAAAATGCCTGAACCATTTTGAGTTTCTAGGAGTAATAAATGGGAGCATTTTTTGCTGGTCTGCATTCTCAGCAGAATTTGGTGTTTAAGCCATTATATCAAGTTAGTGTCTTGTTGCTGTTTCAGTTTGTACTCCCTAAAATATGTGATACTGAACATATTATCATATGCTTATTTGTGATCTATTTATAGTCCTTGGAGTGCTGTCTGTTCTAACCTTTTCATCATGTTTAAATCAACACTTATTATTGAATTTTCAGTTTCTTTCTATATCTATTATTTGTATATTTGATAAGTTTTTTGAAAATATTTTCCCAGTTGTGGCTTCTCATACTCCTGCAATGTTGCTTGAGAGCAAAAGTTTCAAATTTCCAACTTGTCATTGTTTTTTAAACTTATTTAAATTTTTTTTTTTTTACCAATCATTTCTTTGATGTTGTATCTAAAAAGTCATAATCAAATCCAAAGTGTCTAGATGTTCTTCTGTAGCTGGCTAGGAATTTTATGGTTTTGCATTTTACATATAAGGCTGTGATCACTTGGAGTTAATTTTTGTGCAGAGGCTATGGTCTGTGTCTAAACTCACTTTTGCACCTGTGGATATCAAATGGTTTCAGCACCATTTGTTAAGACTTTTATTGCTCCATTTTATTGTTTCTGTTCTATTGTCATAGAAGAGTTGATCATATTTATGTGGCTCTACTTCTGGGTTCTCCTAATTTCTTGGTTATTTCACCTATAACACACTGTCTTATTGACCATAAACTTCTAGTACATTAAATACTCTGTCTTCTAATTTTGTGTTCTTTTAGTTTTGTGTTGACTACTCCCAACAGTTTGCTTCTCCATATACACTAGGATCAGTTTTCCAACTTTCTTTAAGAAAAATTTTTATCTATTTACTTATTTATTAACTTATTTGAAAGGCAGAATTAAAGGGAGGGAGAGATGGAGAAAGAATGATCTTTCTGCTGGATCACTTCTCAAAGAACTAAAACAGCCAGGACTGAGCCACGCTGAAACCAGGAGCCAGGAGCTTCTTCCAAGTCTCTCACATGGATACAGAGGCCCACACACTCGGTTCATCCTTTGCTGCTTTCCCAGGTGCCTTAGCAGGGAGCTGAGTGGGAAGCAGAACAGCAATGGCTCCAACTGGTACCCAAACGGGATGCCAACATTGCAGATGGTGGCTTAACTGGCTACACCATAACATCAGCTCCAGCTTTCTTTCTTTTTTTTTTTTTTCTTTTTAAAAAGATTTATTTGTTAATTTGAAAGAGTTAGCTGTTCCAGGCCAAAGCAAGGAGCCAGGAACTTCATTCAGGTCTGCCAAGTGGGTGGCAGGGATCCAACACTTCGATCATCCAAATGTTTTTTTTTTTCAGGTCTGGTAGCAGGGGGCAAAACTTGGAGTGAAACAGCCAGAACACGAATTGACATCCACATTTGATGCTGATATTGTAGACAATGGCTTTCATAGCTGTGTCACAATGCCAGCTCAAGGTTTTGATTTGCAAAAGCTAGATGAGATTTTGAATAGATTTGTACTGGGACCATAGAACAAGTTAGGAACAGATGAAAACTTTGTTGAGT